GGGACAGTTGAACCTGGAGGCTCCGCCCCTGTTTAATGATGGACGGTTTCTTTTCACAAAGATGGCCTCCTTTACTCCTCTCTCAAACCATCGTTCCTCTCTGTCCAGGATGTGAACATCTTCATCCCTGAAAGAGTGACCGCTGGCCTGGAGATGAGTGTAGACCGCAGAGTCCTGGCCTGATGATGTTGATCTTCTGTGCTGGTCCATCCTTTTGGCCAGTGGCTGTTTAGTTTCCCCGATGTAAGACTGATCACCCTCCTGACACTGAACAACATACACAACATTGCTCTGTTTGTGCCGGGGGACTGGATCTTTGGGATGAACCAGTCTTTAATGTATTTTGGGGTTTAAAAGCCACTGGGACGTTATGTTTAGAAAATAAACGTCTCAGTTTCTCTGATACTCCCTCAACATATGGAATGACCACTGGTCTGGGTCTGGGTTCCTCCTTTTCACCTGTTGGCTGACTGGAGTCCTGTTTGGGTTTCTGCTTCCAGGAAGGCCCAGTTAGGATATCCACATTGCTCTAGAGCCTGTCTTGTGTGGGATTTCTCCTTCTGCCTGGCTCCTGAGCTAGTGGGGACGCTGTCTGCTCTGTGGTACAGAGTCCTGATGACTCCTAACTTGTGCTCCAAAGGGTGATCAGAGAGTCAGAGATTCTTTATTGTCATTCGCACCTCATGTGGTACATGTGGTGGAGCGAAATTATGTACACAGGGTCCCAGTTACATCCAACAATAAAATGTATAAGAAAAACAGTAATAACATCTAAGATATGAACTAAGAAAAACATCAACTAAATATACACTAAGCACTCATAACATAAAAACATTGAACATCAGCACAAACATGAACATGAGTCTGTGAGCAGATGTGCACGCATGAACACATCAACATTGAAACAGATCAGCAGCAACATGAAACAGATCAGCAGCAACATGAAACAGATCAGCAGCAACATGATATGGTTTTTCACAGTGATTATTCTAGTTAGAGATTCATGAGTCTAACAGCCTCAGGGTAGAAGCTGTTCCTCAGTCTAGTGGTTCTACACTTAATGCTCCTCAACCTCCTTCCTGAGGGGAGTGGGGCAAAAAGTGTGTGTGCTGGGTGAGTGAGGTCCTTCATGATGCAGGTGGCCCTCTTCCTGCATCTGGAGGTGTAGATGTCTGTGATGGTGGGGAGACTGACTCCAACATCTTCTGTGCAGCCTTCACCACTCTCTGCAAAGCTTTTCTTTCTGCAGCTGTGCAGCCTCCATGCCACACGTTGATGCTGGAGCACAGGATGCTCTCCACTGCACACCTGTAGAAGGAGGTGAGGACTGAGCTTCCCAGACCAGCTCGTCTCAGCCGTCTGAGGAAGTAGAGTCTCTGATGAGCTTTCTTCATCAGGCTGGTGGTGTTGTTGCTCCAGCTGAAGTTGTTGTTCAGGTGTACACCCAAGTACTTGTAGCTGGAGACCACTTCCACCGCAGATCCTCTTATGTTCAGGGGGTGTAGGTGTTTTTGTTCCTTCTGAAGTCCACAATCATCTCCTTTGTCTTCTTCACATTGATGTGAAGGTTATTCTCTTTGCACCAGCTCTCCAGGTGTTCCACCTCCTGCCTGTAGCTGGACTCATCATTGTTTGTGATGCATCCCACCACCGCTGTATCGTCTGTAAACTTTACAATGTGACAGCCTGGATGGGTAGCTGCACAATCATACGTGAGCAGAGTAAACAGGAGGGGGCTCACCACACACAGTTTGGTCATCTGTTGGTAAAAACATGGATTCTAGTCACAACCATCCTCACACATCACATTGGACCCGAACGGTGGTCTGTACTGGTTCTGATCGAAACTAACAACAGGAAAAGGATAATGAAGGAGATGGACCTTCTGGTGTAGGCCTTATCCACAGTAATGCAGGTGACAGGAGGAGGTCCTGGGTCCATAAAGCTGAGGTGAGCTAAAAGAACCTGATATCTCTGCCCACTAACAGTACCAAATAATTTGCACTTTACCAAAGCTGTAGAAAACCAGGATGTTTAGTTGTTTCAATTCTTTGCTGAGTGTGAGTCAAGCTGGGATGCTGGATTCATTCTGAATCCTGCTGTGTCCTTCTGGTTCTGCAGGATCTGGACCTGTGGCAGGGATCATCAGTGCCATAGGAGTGGCTCTGGTGGGAGCCGCCTCCAGCTACTTCGCCTACCAGAAGAAGAAACTGTGTTTCAAGATCCAAGGAGGTGAGTCTTCAGTGGTTCTAAAACTGTCCCAGTGGAGATGGAGTATTTCAGTCTCATTGTCCTCATGTCTCTGATCGTCCAGGTCAGGATCCAGAGAGTGGCAAGGTCCAACAAGGTTCTCACTCTGACCCCCAAGGTGAGTTTATGTTCTCATTAATGATCTTGCATGTTTCAAGTTAAATATTTCTTATTGAGCTACTGCCCAGCAGGCAGTAAGTCTGAGAGCATCTACAAACCCAGACCAAAACCAGAGCGCTTCAACAAAACCAGATCAAAACCAGAGCACCTTCATCAAACCCAACCAAAATAAAAGCTGCAAGCAGCATAGAAGGCCCATGCAGAAAAGTGCCGCTTTGGCCAAATGGTGACTGCAGGAGCTCCAGCTACACCTCCCAGTCGCCATTGTGAATGCTCTTGTGCCATTCCTGCACGCGTCCACCAGGGGCGCATTTTGCAAATCTTGAAAAATCACTAACCGCCCATGTCAGTACGAGTCCAGCTGCAAGTCTTACAAGTTTGTCCAAAATCCGACCTTCCACACAGTAGTTATTGTCGCTTCCTGTTTTGTGGCGAATGTTTGGCGAGGACTTTCTTTAGGCTTTTCAACATGTCGTGTGGTTATCAATGTTCAATGGATATAGTTTTAATATTTCATAAACGGGAGAAATAGGATTGCTCCAAGATGGCTGGCTTCCTATTGCGTTTGGACCATGTGTCCAATAGACTTTTTTGTAGGTCCTGACAAGTTACACATGTGTACTGGATTTCATGATTGTCAGTCAAAGCATGCCTCGGGGCTGAGGTTTTAAAATATTCTAGGGGGCACTGTGGAGGCATTAGGCCACATCTATGAAATATTGGACTGCATTCCTGTTGTTGGGTGGATACTGATCGAGTGTATTGAGTTTGGTGCAGCTCGGCTGAAATATATGGAATTTAGATGCAAACGTATGGCAACGGCGTTATGTCTGACTTCGCCAACCCGCAATGGCCACATCCTCCAGCAAAAACTGTTTGTGGTTTGATGCAGGTCAGACCAACTTGGTATATGTCTTCTGACACTGGATCATCATCAGGGATGACTCATGCCACGTTTGGTGCAATTTGGTCTTTCTTTGTGAAAGTTATAGCGTTTGAAAATTATGGCATCAAGAGTAACTTTGAGGCCTGGCCACGCCCCTTTAGCATAACCGAAAACTCAATATTTTGATAACTTTTACTCCCCAATGCCTTTAGGGCATATCAACCAAGTTTGAAGCCAATAACTCCAAATCCCTAGGAGGAGTTCATTACAATTCGTCATGTATTAAAATTAAAAAATGTCCCAAAATGACCCTTTGAACCAAAATGGCTGACTTCCTGTTGGGTTTGGACCAGCAACAATTAACACACAGCAACAAGTTTACCCTGATGGGCTACACATCATAGCTGGGGATATCAATCAAGTAAACCTAAAATCTGTCTTGCCAAAATTCTACCAGCATGTCAAGTGTTCAACCAGGGGAAAAATACACTCGATCATGTATATACTAACGTAAAACAGGTGTATAGAACCATAGCCCTCCCCACCTGGGCCATTCCAACCACCTTCAGTCTACACCCCACTCAGAAGAACTATAAACGCTTTGCCATCGATACGTACGACTGTACTCAGCTGTCGTCTTGTCGGTTCTTCTCTGGTGTAGGTGATTTGGCACTGTGACTCGATTCTCCGCTCTGTGGGCGGTATGGTAACTGGTCATTGCGTTCAAGCCGCTCCACCCGTTGTGGCCGCCCTATATTCGGACTTCAATTTCTTTACCTTATTCCGGCACTGCTTATAAGTTTTGGGTGTAATATAACAAAAGCTAAATGTAACAAAAAGCTAGCTAAAAGTTAAATGCAGCAAAATGTTTTCCAAAAGCTAAAGCAGCAAAATGCTAACTATAAGTAGTGAAAGGCTAGCTCTAAGCTAAAACTAGCCAATAGCCTAAACTAGTAAAACAAGCTCAGTCACTTTATAAGCTGGGTACTGCTCTCTGCTATTACCATCAACGTTTAGCTCAATATCTGTAAAACTAGTCGGATTTTTTATTTGTTCTGGTTGCCTAGCTGTGGCAGCCATCTTGAATTGATTTTCGTTTCATATTTACTGTCTCGAGTTTCATTCAGACATCTTCCCTGGTTCATGTGGTAGCAGACGAACACTCCGACAGGCTGTGGTCTTCATTTGTTCTGATTGTTCTTTTCTCCTGCAGTTTTCAGCACCCTGATGCAGTCCGACAGAACCTGACCCGTCTCTTCATTCCATGCTTGTCCCACATCTGTAACCTGAAAAAGGAAATTGTATTTTTACTCAAAGCCACAAATTCCATTTAATCAGTTAAGAAACGATAAAACTGCTCTTGCTCTAAGCCTGGACAAATATTTAAAGAGTTATCTGCAACAGAAGTCTGAAATATCCCTTTTAGCTGCTTCAACTACAATCATTCAAAGACAAAAGCACAGAAGTTGTCCGACCTGCGTAGCGACACTACTGTCCAGAAACATTGCCTTCCATTCACCTCGGAGAGCTGAACCACTGTCCAGGAATGACCTCACATCAAGTTTTATCATGAATGGATGCTGGATGTTCTGAAAATACAGCCTGAAGGAAGGTGATATGAAGGGTACAAAGTAGGAAACGACGAACACAGAGCCCTGGAGGACACCATGAGGACACATCAGTGTCTTTGAGATGTCAGTTAGCATCAATGAGATACTAACTGACAGAAAGATCTTGATGCTTTGACAAGTCACAACCACGATTCACTCTGATTAGTGATGTTCTGCTTACCGGAGCTTTAAGCTACAATGTGCTTAGCTAATTTTAGCTTTTAGCTCTGGTTTAGCTAACCTTAGCCTTTAGCTATAATGTGTTTTCCAAATTTAGTTTTGTTCTCTCTGGTTCAGCTTGAAGCCACAGTATGTTTTGATAAATTACTCTAGTTTTTTTTTTTTGCTATGGTTTTGCTAGCTTTAGCATTTTGGTTTAGCTGATTTTAACTTGTAGTTATTGTTTTGGTAATTTAGCAAATTTTAATTTTTTGCTGGTTTTAGCTAAATTACCCTTCGTTCTGCTCATTTTGCCATCTTTTCTCACCTTGAACAAGTTTCAACCATCGTAACGTTTCACGTGTGAGGCGGCCATGTTGGATTTTAGGCTCAGAAGAGACTGATTGAACATGTGACATCAGGGTACAGCACTTCCTGTCCAAGTACAAATGGAGCGCCCGAATAATTCCAGTTGACACACAGGAAATGTAGAGTTAGGTGATTTATATTTCTGTGCTTTTGACTCAAGTATGGAAGTCTGTTAATGCCACAGAAAAATTATTTACAGTGTGACTTTATACTGTTAATGATCGACCACGCTTTACACATTTATCATGTTATAAATAACAAATATCCCCGCGTCCCCGCCTCTGCACATTGACTGCTGGGTATTGCACCAGCAACTCGTCGTGTCCCAGAAAGGAAGAAGCGGGTGAAGATAATGGATGGATGTTATTACAATACACTTTTTGTCTTCTATAACATGAAAAGTTAAAAAATTCAGTCCCGTGGGATATTATTTTACAGCTGCACGCTTTTGTGTTTGGTTGCAAAAATGTACAAACAGAAAACAAGCAGATGTGTTTCCAAAACTGTCTTTTTTTTTATTTTAGTTTTTGGCAAAAATATTGTTTTGTGATGCACTTTTTATGTTGGAAATAAAGTTCGTAATGTAAAAAGATGAAGAAGTTTATCATTTAGCTTCAGGTTGAACCCTGGGAACACCTTGAGGTTAAATAATCCAGTCAAACTGTGCTTTGTCTTATTTTAGCTGTTTAGACAGAAACGTGTTGATCGAGGACTTTTAATGTTTGTCATATCTTCTAACATGCTCGCTCGGTTTTTCTCGTCCTGTGCTACTTTTAGCTATTATCAACGCTTTAGCTACTTTTTGTGTTGAGATAAGGTGTTGCTTGTTTTAGCTTTTGGCAATTTTTTTTAAATATATATATATATTTTGTTTCTTTTTGTTTCAGTTATACCAGTTCAGTTTTAGCTTACTCCACAAACTTTAGCAACCTTTAGTTTTGTGTTTTGAGAACTTCGGCTGTTTGCTCTGAACAGACACAAGCCTTCATGATGTGATGGTCACAAACTGAAATAAAGTGTAAATAATGAATTTTACTGACTTCAGAGTTGATACGTGTTTCACCATCACCCGCCAGGATTTGTCTCAGTTTACTGGTGTTACCCAGGTCTGTTACAGGATTTTTAATTGAATGTTACTTTAGTTTGTTTTTGTTACCGACATGTTTTCAATAAAGTTTGTACAGTTTCTGTGCCTTAATTTGTTTCATTTTTATGAAGAAGGAGCAACAAAGCAGCAGACGTTCCACCTTCAGAATAAGTGAGATTATATCCAGTGATGACTTCTGTCTATTTATTTAGAGAGATACGTCACATTGAGCCTAGAAGACTCATTTACAAGTGAGACCTGTTTGGACAGACAAAAAGTGGTAAACTGGACACACGTAGGAGTTGGAGTCGAAAAAATTCGTATCAAACTTTTTTTTCCTGCCTGGGAAGAAAAACTGATATTAAAAAAACACCTCGCACAAACAAGCACATAGTGACGAAGACATTCTGCAGATGGGGGAGGCGAGTGCGGTCAGCATGTTCATAGATGCTCTCGAGGTCACTGTAAGAGTTCTGATAGGGATGTAATAATCATCCAGTGTCCTCCGGTGCGGTACATGAACATTCTCGAGGTATGTCGAGGAATGGCCAAGAATAACGATTATGAGAATCCAAGAGTCCTGAAATGATGGCACAATGTTTATTCAGCTGGTTTCATCTGGTTATTAGTTGGAAATTCCTCAGGGAGGGGGTGGTGAGCGTCAGATCACATTTTCTCCAGGTGAGTTCAGATAAGATGACCTTCAAGGCCAGCCAAGGGAGTCAAATTCAGATAAACACACGGTTGTTTTGGGGACAGGCAGAACTTAATGACATCTACTTTGAGTCTGTGTTGGTCCACTCGGTTCCAAAATGTCCAAAATAACATGGCCACACCGATGGAACGTGACTGAGTAAAATCCCTGAGATCTGATCCATTCTGCCCAA